CGCACCGCCTCCAGGGGGCGAGGGTGCCCTTGGCTAGCTGCGACCGAAATCGACGGCCGTCAGCCCTGGCTGCGGGGAGCGGGGTTCAAAAGGACATTTTAGGACGCCGACTCACACATGCACCCAGTTATCGCAGTTTTAGCACCCAGTGCCTGCAGCGCTTGCAGCTTCAACTGTTTGCTTTTTTTTTTTTTCGCTTGTGACAAGGTGCACTGAAAGCAAGGTCTAGAGTTTAAAAATTATATTTGAGCTGTAATGACTGATCAGAAAAAGATTTTGTGGTAAAGGACTAACAAATGAAAGACCACGGGTGAGGGTGCGCTCAGAAGGAATTGCCTGTGGTTTGGGAACAGTCAGGAAAGATGTGGGGGAAAAGGGTGTTGAAAGTGAGAATGGTGTTATCCAGCTTCCAGCTCTTCTGGCTGGGAAAGCTGTTAGAGCTGAGAGGTTGCTGCAAGACAGCATAGCTGCAGAAGGGTTTTGGAAGGGGGGAAGCAGGTGTGAGCAAAGAGTTTTGGGTATATGCAAGGAGAAGGCTGGAGATGGATGTAATTGAATTCATGGTGGAAGAGGTAAGCAAAAGGAAGCAGGAAGGAAGCAAAAGCATGGAAGCAGGAGAGGAGGAGTAAAATTTAAGGAAAGATGAAATGAAGGGAACCTGGGATTTGAAAACTGTGTATTTTCCCAGCAGAAAATCTTAACAGGGTTCTCACTCCTGTGTCCCCAGGTTTCACTAGCTTCAGGATACTGGTAGTTGATTTTGTCATGAACCTGTAAGCGTCTGCTGTGTGCTATGGTGACTCATACAGGTTTAAGGATTGACTGTTAGTCACTTGTTGCTAAAGCCAAACCTGCTTGCTCAGTAATCCTTCTGGCTTAGCAAAAGGTTCTCCTTTTCATAAAAACAGTCTCCTTTTTTAAAATCCAGATATTTTCAGGCAATATTTTTTTAATATGTAATTAAAAACAGTGTTCTGTTTTCTCTCTGAATCTGGCTGGCCTAGAGTGGTTTCTGGCACCAAGGCACAGTGTGACTTTCTAGCATATCTGGTAGTTTTCTTCCACCAGAGAGCACCAGAGAGGGGGAGAAGTCGACTCTTTTCCCCCACTGAGGCAGAGCATCCTGCTACATATGGTTGGTGAGAAAAGGTTCTGAGCAGAGATACCACCTCTTCAAGGGAAGACAGCTCCTCTCTTTTTTTTTTTTTTCTTTCTTTGTGATATGTAGGAATTACAGCATAGTAATGACCAGTTGAACTCTCTGCAGGACTTATGGCAATGGACAGTTTTAAGGAGGAGTCTGAAGGTAGCTTGTAAAGCTACCACAGAGTGCAGGACACCAGAGGAGGAAAAGCAGAGACAATAATTTTAAAAATCTTCCAGATGCATGATGTAGGTAGATGTTGGGAGGGCTGAACAATAGTGGGAACTGAACTCTCCATAATAAGTGAGGTGAGGGTAGTCTCCAAGGACTGAGGAAATGAAGATGAGCAGCTTCAGGCTGCCATTGCAGAAAAGGCGGAGCTGGCAGATGGAAACACCATGGATGTTATGTAGGTGTAATGAGCTGGAAAAATGCACTTTTCAGTGGTGTTCTGGTGGAGGCTAGCAGGGTGAGACTGTGCTCCTTGAGGCCAGATGAAAGCATGTTGCAGCAAAAAAAATGCAAGCTAACAGGGGCATGAGTGGGAGTTTTAGCTGTTTTGGAAGCTTGTAAAAACTATATAGAGGCACTAAAGGCTGAAGACCTAGAGGGTCATCTATGTCAAAGATGATACACAGATGGATAAAGATTAAGGAAGCAGGTACAAAAATATATGTTCTTCTGGCAGGTACAGATTAACCCTATCAGCTCCTTTTCAGAATTACATTTGCTGAAAGTACTGTAGTTTTGCTGTTCTGTTGTTTCCTAGGCATAATGCTGGACAACCAGGGGATCAGGCCCAGTCAGCATGGGTTCATGAAAGACAGGTCCTGCTTGACCAACCTGACCTCCTTCTATGACAATCTGACCTGCCTAGTGGAGGAGGGAAAGGCTGTCCATGTTGTCTACCTGGACTTTGGTAAAGGCTTTCACACTGTCTCCCACAGCGTTCTAGAGAAGCTGGTGGCTCACGGCTTAGACAGGTTTACTCTTTGCTGGGTAAAAAACCTGCCTGGACGGCCAAGCACAGAGTTGCGGTAAACAGAATCAAATCCAGTTGGCGACCAGTCATGAGCGGTATTTTCCAGGGCTCAGTTTTAGGGCCAGTCTTGTTTAACGTCTCTATCAATGATCTGGATGAGGGGATTGAGTGCTCCCTCAGCAAGTTTGCAGATGACACTAAATTGGGAGGGAGTGTTGATCTGCCTGAGGGTAGGAAGGCTCTGCAGAGGGACCTGGATAGGCTGAATCAATGGGCTGAGGCCAACTGTATGAGCTTCAACAAGGCCAAGTGCCGGGTCCTGCACTTTGGTCGCAATAACCCCATGCAGTGCTACAGGCTTGGGGTCGAGTGGCTGGAAAGCTGCCAGGCAGAAAAGGACCTGGGGGTGTTGGTGGACAGCAGGATGACCATGAACCAGCAATGTGCCCTTGTGGCCAAGAAGGCCAATGGCATCCTGGGGTGTATCAGAAATAGTGTGGCCAGCAGGAGTGATCGTGCCCCTGTACCTGTATTCTGCACTGGTGAGGCTGCACCTTGAATAGAGTGCTCAGTTTTGGGCCCCTGCCTGCAAGAAGGACATTGAGGCACTGGAGTGCATCCAGAGAAGGGCAACAAAGCTGGTGAAGGGTCTGGAGTACAAGTCTTGTGAGTGGCTGAGGGAAATGGGATTGTTCAGTCTGGAGAAGAGGAGGCTGAGGGGAGACCTTATCACTGTCTACAACTACCTGAAAGGAGGTTGTAGAGAGGTGGGTTTTGGTCTCTTCTCCCAAGTAACAAGCAATAGGATGAGAGGAAATGGCCTCAAGTTGTGCTAGGGGAGATTTAGATTGGATATTAGGAAGAATTTATTTACTGAAAGAGTGGTCAATCACTGGAACTGGCTGGCCCGGGGGGGGGGGGAGTCACCATCCCTGGAGGTATTCAAAATACAGAGGTGGTGGAGTCACCATCCCTGGAGGTATTCAAAATACATGTAGATGTGGCACTCTGAGACATGGTTTAGTGAGCATGGTGGTGGTGGGTTGACGGTTGGACTTGATCATCTTAGAGTATTTTCCCGACCTTAATGATTCCATGATTTTGCCCCTTCTTCAGTCGTATTTGTTTCAGTTGGTAACTTTTAAAAATCATATGAAATTTCATGGAGGCCTCATGTGACTGCTGACAAAGCAAGATAAGTGCTTTATGTATTATTTCAGCTAATATGGAAAATCGGATTTTGGACTAACACATTTTTAAATCCAAAAATCTCCTATCTTATTTTAAACATTCTGTGTTGAACACGCAGATCCACACTTGTTATGATTATTCTTTTAGATGTATTTGTGGTTGCATCTTATTTATGAATGGAGAAAGGCATAGGTTTTCCTCAAGTAGTCAATTAATTGAGTGATAGACGTCCTAATGTCTTGTTCGTTAGCCTATTAACAATGTGAGCCTTTAAACGATTGGTATTTTAGCAGATGCAGTAAGAAAAGGTTGTGAAGATGTAATTAAAAAGTTATGATCATAACAGGAATAATTTTAAGTAAGAAAGCCCAGGCAGATGTATTAATACACATTAATTTACAGATTAATTCCTGTGATCAGAATCTGAACCGATGCTGTGAAGCGATAGAATTGAACTCTGAGATTCAAGGGCAGCTCTTCACAATCCTCAATGAAACATCTCGAGAAGGTAAATCAGTGCCTTGCCTTATTACTAACACATTTCACATATGTCATCTTTTTAAGCTCTGGCCCCTTTCTGTAAGGGTTCTCACAATTTCTTAATGTATGTATTTTCTTAGGTGGGCATTATGCAGGTGTGGAAACAATAAAAACCCGTCTCCTGCCATGGCTAAGAACTTGTTTTTCCTGTGCTACTTCAGGAAGGCTCTTTGAAACCAACCTCTCTCTCACTCAGGTATGTAGGAAGTCTATTTTAAGGGAGTAGAACAGTGTGAATTCATATCTACAGGAAAGCTTTAATGACTTTCTGCTAATAGTAGTGTCCCTCCCTGATTTTGCTTAGTGAACTATGGAGACAGCTATGCTATTTCTCTGTCTCATCTTACATTTCATTTGAGAGGGAAAACAAAGAGATCATTAAAGTTACTCCTGAGACTTCGTGCTTTGAAAGAAAATAAGATTGTTGGTTGATGCAGACTAGGGGAAAATGTCTAAGATCTTGAGATTTGGTAGCGATGCCTCCATGTTTTCTGACTTCTCATTTTTGCACCCCTTCTGTCAAAATCTTTCACAATTAAAATAAGGACAACTGAAAAGTGATATCCCTTAAGAGTCAGATTATGTTGAAGGAGTAGAGTTCTGCCAAAAAAACCCCCAAAATGTAAAATAATGATGCTACTGAATGACTGTACACCAGTTATGGATTTGTCATTGCATGTGACATTCTAAATTTAAAGAAAAACCTGCTGTACAGTTACTTATTTAATTCTAGTAGTATCAGGCAAACCTATTGGTTGTTAAAGACAGAGCTGCATGCATAGTAGTGTCCTTTCTGGAATGACAGTAGTTGCCTCCTCTGTTCTAATAACTTTTTCTGATTTTGTGTACACGAATGACCAAAAACTTTACTTGAGTTGATGATGTATGGTCAGTCAGAAGATGACCGACTAGAAAAAAAAACAACCCCATGCAACACATCTACAGGAACACTTTGTATTGTTTATGTCTCTATAACATAGTTATGCAATTGCTTTTGTTTTCAATTACTTTAGAAATGATCTTTACTGAAATGTCTAGAAACACATGTTTAGAAACATATCTGCTAATAAAGCTATGCTACATTGCTGAAAGATTCTGTAAGGTAGAACATTCAAACAGCATGATTTTGTGTTTTGTGGTAGGATTCAATTGAGAGAGAGAGGCAGCTGCAAGAGCTGGTCAGCAGTCAGACTCTTCAACTGCAAGAGTTGCAGGAAAAACTGACTTCAACTTGTCTACAGCTAAACCATGTGCAACAAGAGTAGGTGATTTAACTGTGATTTTTATTTTTTTTCAACAAGAAGCCATATTTTCCTCTTGACATCTAAATACTGATGGAGATTTGTAAAATGTTTACTTTCTGGCTTAAAATCGGAGCTTCAAAGTCATTGGACTTTTGCATGCTGAGTAAACCTTGATTAAAAATCAGTTGAGTAGCTATAGTGCAACATTTATTGAAGGACCTACAACATATCATAATTAGTTATGGTATGTAATCGGTATGTGAACTTCTAAGAAGATCAAAACCCACTGAGGTAAGATGAATGAAAAAAGAAAGACAGATTTTCAAACAAGTGACTAGGACTTAATGATCATTGTTCAGTTCCATAAAACTAATTTTGTGGAGCATTGTAGTCTCAAAATTACTTAATTGCTTCAGAAACAAATTTGTGCAGATTGTGCCACTTTTAGGGCCATTTCAGAGTTAACTCCAAGTGACAGACACCTTCTCATGCACCCTATTAGCAAGAGAACAATGAATGTTCACAGTCCTTGGGCCAGTACAATAAGTGATATAATCTTACTAAGTGATGGTCTTACAAAGAGATTCCAAGAATAGCAAGTTCTCAGGACTTCATAGTGTATTAGCTAGATTAGAGGAAAGAGGTTCAATAGAATATTTTGTCCTGTATTCTAATCTTGCAGGTATCTCCTGCTTTCATAGAACTGTAGAATCACAGAATGGTTTGGGTTAGAAGGGACCATCAAATATCACCTAGTCCAACTCCTCTGCTCTTGACAGGGACATCTCCCACTAGATCAGGTTGCTCAAAGACCCATCCAACCTGACCTTGAACACTTCCAGGGATGAGGCACCACAGCTTCTCAGGGCAACTTGTTCTAGTGTCTCACCACACTAGTTGTAAAGAATTTCTTCTTTATTTGCAGTCTAAATCTTCTCTCTTTTAGTTTGAAATGGTTATCCCTTGTCCTATCACTAGGACAGAGGTAAAAAGGAAAATCTCTCTCCATCTTTCTTGTAAGTCCCCTTTAAATATTGGAAGGCTACAACAAGGTCTCTCTGAAGCCTTCTCCAAGCTAACCAGTCCCAACTCTCTCAGCCTTTCTTCATAGGAGAGGATTTCCAAGCCTCTGATCATTTTTGTGGCCTTCCTCTAGACATGCTCTAACAGGTCCATGTCTTTTTTTGTACTGGGGACTCCAGAGCTGGATGCAGTACTCCAGGTTGGGCCTTATGAAAGAGGAGTAGAGGGGCAGAATCACCTCCTTCAACCTGCTGGCCACACTTCTTTTGCTGCAACCCAGGATATGGTTGGTCTTCTGGGCTGGGAGTGCATGTTTACTGGCTCATGTCCAGCTTTTCATCCATCGGTACCCCCAAATCCTTCTCTGTAGAGCTGCTCTTTGTCCTTTCATCCTGCAGCCTCTATTGATACTGGTGATTGCCCCAACCTGGGTTGCAGGACCTTGCACGTGGCCTTGTTGAACCTCATGAGATTCACATGGGCCCACTCCTCAAGCATGTCAAGGTCCCTCTAAATGGCATCTGTTCCCTCAAGAGTATTATGCATCACTCAGCTTGGTGTCATCCACAAACTTGCTGAGGGGTTTGCACTTGATTCCACTGTCAATGTCGTTAATAAAGATATTGAATGGTACTGGTTCTGATATAGACCCCTGAGGGACACCACTTGCTACTGATCTCCATTTGACGTAGAGCTGTTGACTGCAACTCTTTGAGCGTGACCATCCAGCCAATTCCTTATCTATCAATTAGTCCATCCATCAAATCCGTATCTCTCCAATTTAGAGAGAATCTTTCCAATTTAGAGAGATTATGTGTAGGACCATGTCAAAGGCCTTACCTTATTCATCAATGCGTATTAGTATCTGTTATGTGTCATCTTGGATGAATGTAGGCTTTCTAATTTTTCACTATCAAAGAAGTCTCCATCAACTCTGAGTTAAACATCAGTGCATCCCCTTAAAAAGAAGAAGACAAGCAAATATTGTGACCTTGCAGTGTACATTAAATACCAAAAATGGTAAGGTGGGACAGAGAAGGACTCCACAATATGTGGGAGAAGAGAGAGGTTTTTCGTTCTTGGCATTTCAACTGGTTTGCCGGAATTGGGTAATCGTGCAAGATAATTCCAGTCTGGAAGGTTTAGTCAGCAAAGGAGTTGTTCTCTGTTGATATGCGTATCTATAGACTTCTAACTTCTAACTATACTTCTAACTATACCTGAAGGGAGGGTGTAAAGCAGATAGAGCTAGGGTGATTCCAGTGGTGCCCAGTGACAGGACCAGGGCATTGGGCACAAACTGAAACACAGGAGGTTCCCTCTGAATATCAGGAAACACTTTTTTATTGTGAGGGTGACTGAGCACTGACACAGGTTGCCCAGGGAAGCTGTGAAATCTCCATCCTTGAAGATATTCAAAAGCTGTCTGGACATGGTCCTGGGCAATTGGCTCTAAGTAACTGCTTGAGCAGGGGAGTTGGACCAGATGACCTCCAGAGATGCCTTCCAACCTCAGTGATTCTGTGGTTCATTTGTATATAAAGATTGCTTTACGGGCGAGGCATTTCATCCTGTGCTTCTGTGTGGAAAAGATTATTTGAGCTAGAGAAAAGTGTTGGTGGTCAAGGTGAGAAGTACAAGGAAAGTTATTCACTGATATGGATTGCAGTGAGTGTGTGGCTGTTTGCAGTACAAGAAAAAGACATTTTGGGCTAACTCCTGCAAGAAGTGGGAAGTCAGAAGTTTTGTATAGTTTTGTGGATTGCACTCCTCTGTGCTGTCAGGTCAGGGAGATGTTGGCAGTGGTTTGCAAAGGTAGAAGTCTGGAAGGTTGGGACGAGGTAATTCAAGCAGAGATGAAGTCATGTGTGAAAGTTTCAGAACTGATCCTTCCAAGGTGATGCAGTACAGAGTCATGATGGTGTAGTTACTGACAGGCAGGGGACAGGTGCAGAAGAAAAAGAATTTGTGTCCCAAGATGCCCCATTTATGGACAGTGATATAATTCTGAAAGATGCAAATTGTTGAAATCAATGGAGAAACTGGAACTGAGTCTTAATGAAGAATAATGAGTCGTAGGAAAATAATTCCATTATTGCAGAGTCAGATAGGACTTTTTATAAGCTATTGGTGTACTGATAGTCTGCACAAAGCCTGCTGTGATTGTTTTTATGTTAAGTTTGTAGGGACTTGGTCTGCTCAGTCAGTTTGTCATATGAATTTCTCTGGTAGAATCTCTGCCTTTACTATGAAGGTTATTAATTTTTCTTGCAGTCTGGCAAAAACCCATTTGGCTCTTGAAGATGCAAAGACCAAATCAGCCGCTACTCTTTTGACAGCAGAAGACGAAATTGTTCAGCTAAAAGCAGTGTAAGAAATATTGAATCTTGGGGCATTTATGTCAGCAAGTCAGCATGCAGAGACACAGTCTGTCATTTACCTGAGTAGTTCTGTTTATTCTACACTGTTCTATACTATAGCAAAAAATAAGTCTAGTTTCTTAACATCTTGTATTGTTGTTTCTTGGTGTTATAGAGAGAATTAGCATAAGTAGATCCATGTGAGAAGAAGAACCTTGCGGCTGCACTTTTAGGGCAACTGAGAGGATAACCTACTCCTGATAAAGATAAGCAAACAAAAAAGCCTCAAGTCATGAGACTTTCTACTTCCAATATCAAGTTGAATATCACTTGTTTGTCTCTGGATGTTCAACATTGCTTCTAGAATACAGTTAATTCTTAGATTTCATCAATGGACTTTCCTAGCAACTGTTGACCACTTTGGATTTAAATTTTTTTGATGGCTACCTGGGGTATAAATATACCTGGGGTATATTTATATACCCAGGCATACAAATTCCCATAAAACCCCAGGTTTATAAATTCCCATAAAACCCCAGGTTTATAAATTCTCATAAAATGGGCTCTTTTGATTTGTTGAGTGAAAAGTAGCTCATATAACTCCTTGATTCTTAGATACAACCTGTTTGCTCTCTTCCCAATTGAAACTATTAATAGGGAATAAAGCATCTCACAATCTCCATATGCTAGTCTTAATGTAGACTGGACAGAAATTTATGTTGCCATTTGTACTAATGACAGAAGAATAAAATATTCCTGTCTTCCTGTGAATTCAGGAGTTTCATAATGTCCACATAGTTACAGTTCATTTTTGCTCTCAGTTTAGCTGACACTCTACATTTGCATCTTCTGCCTGGCTGTTCAACTTTTTATTGAAGCAAAAGTTCTATATTTCATTATCTGTGAATCATCCTTTCAAAATGTGAGCCCTTTTAATTGAGTGAAATCAGATTTACCTGGTCTTTACCTGCCTGTCAAAACCAGAATCCTTCTAAAAGTAGAGTCAGTGAGGTCAGGACTGATCTGTGACACTTAGGACAGGATTTTTTTTCCTTTTTTTTTTTTTTTTTTTTTTTTACACAAGAAACAGTTGCCAGGAGTCTTCTTTGTGTCTTTGTCTGTAAACTTGTTTTTTGAGGCTACTGGAATAGCTGATGCTCTCATTCCTCTTGTCTATAGTCTGTCTGTCTCGCATACTTAAATCAAAGCATGTATTGCAAGACATCTTGGTCTCCTGGGCTGTTAGAGCAAATGTGGTGAGGACTCAATATAATTAAATTTTGTAGCCAGTATAAGCTTTTGTTTTATCAAGGTATTAAATATACCATGATTTAGCTATTTGCTGCAGAATTATGAAGGAAAATACACATTTTTAAAAAAAATTATTAACCATGAACATTTAAAAGTACTTGCAAGTTCTTCAGAGGAAGACAAAAGTAGAAAGTTACTGTTGTTATATGCGGACTGAACAAAATCCTATTACTACTATTACAAATGGAAGCTTACTCTACCTTAGGCTCATGCCAAGGTCACTTTAAAGTAAATGAGGTCAGGAGGACTTTTCGTTCTTGATCTGCTGTGGGGAGGACCTGTTGTGTAGATTGGCAGGAAGAAGTTTTGATAAATATGGTTGTAATTAAAACCAGACAATATGGTAGCTTCTATCAGCTACCTCGAACTTGTAGTGTTGCTTTTGCACGGGGCTCTTAAAAATAGGTTAAGCAGGCACCTGGCCAAAAATGACATAGGTGGAGTTCTTGCCTTGAATTTCAAGGCAATCTGACTGGGATGAGTTGGGCTTAGCACAAGGACTGGGGAACTGTGAAGGAATTTATCATTAATGAATTGTTTGAAACTGGAAGGTAGCAGTGGGCTTCCTTATCCAAGCAGCATTAAGCAGATAGGTGGCTCAGCTTCTCAGGGCTGTTGTATGTATTTTCTCTAGAGAAACTGGCTGAAGGTGCCTATTTTATTTTTAAATGGTTAAATGGTGGAGTTTAAAACACTCGCTATAGCTTTAAAATAAAAGTGGGATATAAAAATGTTGATTTTTACTATAAAATACTATAAAAAACCTATATAAAATTATAAAAAACCTATATTTTGCCTTGTTTGTTCCCATTTTTTGTAGCATCTACAACCCTTTAACAGAAAGGTCATAATACTCTTTTCATTTCAAATTAATATTTTTCAGTAGAATGAATGAATAATAAAACAGGGAAAACTCTAAATACTACATAGATTTAATTAGCATGGAAAGGATTAGTGTTAAGGCTTATAAAAGTCAGAATTGGTAATTTGTAAATATGTCTGTCCTAAAGTTGTTTTTTTCCTTTTGGTATTTAATTTTTCTGGCAAAGAAAGAAACATTCATTTTCAGTGGTGGCTTTTCTTGTTTGTGACTTACCTTTGGACTTGTAATGAGCAGTAAAAGATGCAGGTAT